TGATACTACGGAGGATTAGCAAGACGAAATTCGCGTTCGCGTTCGCTCTCCAAGGAAAGTCGAACTCAGCGACGGAATTCGCGTTATGAGAAGGATTAGCAGACAGAATTCGCACATGCATGACGTTGACACGACATACATTGCGTACAGACAGTACAGCGTGGTAAATTTATGACTGCCCTGACACGAATCCGCGATTCGTGTTCCGACTACTTTTCCGAACGAAAAATGCGAAAGTACGCAATCCAGTTCGCGAAGTGAAAAATGTTTGCGAACGCGAACGCGAATTTCGTCTTGCTAATCCTCCGTACTAGCAGGTCTAGTAGCAACCACTGACAAACGAGAGGCCAGCTGGGGCATTCACTTCAGTCAGGGCTGCTTGGTCGACGCTTTGTATCAGCAGCTCACCTCAGTTTGATCAGTTCAGTTTGATCTCGTTTGTCAGTGGTTGCTACTAGACCTGCTAGATTTTCGTCGCCTGTGTGGTGTGTTCCTCCACCAATGAGCGCGTACTATAAATATTTATCGCTGTTCTCACACTTTACCATTTTAGCAGCTTGCATATGCCATTGTTATAATTATGTGGAAAACGCGCACTTGCGCCATTTCTGGTGTATAAGAATGATCATTCCTCCATTATCATCATTATCATCCTCTACTGATGAGCTCCGACAGGGAGCGAAACAGCTGTCTAGAGGCGTGGTACAATATTATCTCTCAACGGAAGTGTCCTTGCTGGTGTCTGTATGGTTCGGCTGAGAGCGCGTGGTTGTGATGAGTTGGGAATGCAATAAATTGAATCTAAGAATCTCTCATCATGGCACCAGCGAGTGTCAGTGCAAGTGTGCTCCTTGCTGTTGCGCACCCTGCTGTACTGGAACTGGTTCTAGTCACACACATCGTGTGATTCAGTGATACAAAGAGACGATCTGTTGGCTACTCTCTTGGTCTCCACCCTACGGGAACAGCCAACTTATCTGGACCCATCCCGTAAGCTATTCCCCGGCGCTCTCTCGTGCTAACCTTTGAAATCTTTCATACATCATTGCTAGGGTTTGGTCACAATTGTTGTGATGTAAAAGAAAGCCACTTCCTTTCCTACATTGTCGGAACCGGTCTATGCACCAGCGTAACATGTACTTCAGTCGTGGCCAAAGAAATCCCACCCGCAAGTCAAACGTAGCTTTGCGTTTGCACTCCAATGACATCATGCACGTTCCTAAAACTGATTTCGAGGGCCGCAGTGGCCGCATGAGCCTTGGTGCTGCTTTCGGCACGTGGGTTGGCCAATTGGATTTCTTTGGCCACGACTGTTCAGTCATCATGTGTTGTATTGTATAATATGGAATGACGGCAAGTAGTTATTTCTGTGATAAACTGTAGTACTGTGTAGTGTGTAAAATGCATGGTGCAGTGCAACACCTAAGTACACATGTACTGTACTGTGTAGTGTGTAAAATGCATGGTGCAGTGCAACACCTTAGTACACATGTACTGTACTGTGTAGTGTGTAAAATGCATGGTGCAGTGCAACACCTAAGTACACATGTACTGTACTGTGTAGTGTGTAAAATGCATGGTGCAGTGCAACACCTAAGTACACATGTACTGTACTGTGTAGTGTGTAAAATGCATGGTGCAGTGCAACACCTAAGTACACATGTACTGTACTGTGTAGTGTGTAAAATGCATGGTGCAGTGCAACACCTAAGTACACATGTACTGTACTGTGTAGTGTGTTGCAATGCATGGTGCAGTGCAACACCTAAGTACACATGTACTGTACTGTGTAGTGTGTTGCAATGCATGGTGCAGTGCAACACCTAAGTACACATGTACTGTACTGTGTAGTGTGTAAAATGCATGGTGCAGTGCAACACCTAAGTACACATGTACTGTACTGTGTAGTGTGTAAAATGCATGGTGCAGTGCAACACCTAAGTACACATGTACTGTACTGTGTAGTGTGTTGCAATGCATGGTGCAGTGCAACACCTAAGTACACATGTACTGTACTGTGTAGTGTGTTGCAATGCATGGTGCAGTGCAACACCTAAGTACACATGTACTGTACTGTGTAGTGTGTAAAATGCATGGTGCAGTGCAACACCTAAGTACACATGTACTGTACTGTGTAGTGTGTAAAATGCATGGTGCAGTGCAACACCTAAGTACACATGTACTGTACTGTGTAGTGTGTAAAATGCAGGGTGCAGTGCAACACCTAAGGGGTCGTCCGCAATAGACCAATCCCGAAAAGATTGTCTGGGTTCGTGAAAGGGGGCACGCGTGCAAGCCAGAATGTGTGAAGTGCATCGTTTTGTATTCAGTTTGTGTGTGTCAGCTCATGGCGGAGGAGAGAGAGACTTTTGCTCGCCGAGCTGAAGCTAAAGGATTTGATGGAGTCCTGCCAGCAGCTAGTCAAAGGACCTTCGGTACCTTAGGCAGACCCTGACGGAGTTTGGAGGCCAGATAGCTCTCGGTGAGGAGAGAAACATTCGCGTGGCGATCGACTCTCCGTAAAAAAAATGCAAGCTACATAGCGCCGACATACTGCAACAGCTACGATTTCAGCTAACTATTACTTCTCGATCTGCTGCTTCACAAAGTTCAACTATTTACAAGTCCTGACTGTTGTAGTCTGAAGCTGGAGTCTCATCGCCCACCTACAGGTAGCTTTTGGAGCTGATGGATTTCCCGACTTGGACTCCTTCCGCAAACTCTCGCAACATTACTACAGTGTATGCTGTGTTTCCGCACGCTCTTGTCGACATGTCACATACTGTACATATACCGGGTCGCGGAGGAGCTTGACGACCTCCGCTGACTCCAGGTTTCCGAAATACTGCCGTCGTCTTCGTTGATGTCGCTGGTGACATTCTCCCCTTGCAGGACGTGCACATAGTTGTCGTCCCGGGGGTAAAGACTATGTTGTCTTTCGAAATAGTTCTTCATCACGCTCGCGCGAATGATGTTTCTCATCATGAACTCGTTCCGACGGTGTGACACGGCGATGGTCTTTGGCGGGGCACTGGCTTGGCGAAAACGATATCTTCTTGTGCAATATAACATTGATCGGCTGCAGATGAGTACAGTCACTTCGTGGTTGGTCCTATAGGAGGGCAGCTGCCAGGAAAGAGGCAGGACTCATCGAAGACGAAGCGCTCGCAACAAACAATAGCACTCGAAATATCTCGTAAGATTTAGGGCCTATCGCTTTGAGCCACAGCGCTCACAGCCTTGCCTACTTCATCAAAGTGAGCTCTACATGTTCGTTGACCTCTTCACACTTCACAGAAGAGCGAAACAAGGATTATGTCTTAGCATTTCAACTCCAACAGCAGACCATTACCAGTGCGAGAGAGAAAACTACAAAGGGCTTCGCTTTCTGTCGCATCGTCTCTCTTGCATGCAACTAACGAGAAAATCGTGTACTTACCCTCGCATTCACACGCGAACTATCAAACACGTCCTGTGCCGCATGCTGATCAGGTAGTGCCATGTATGTGTTGTACAGTGTACTCTCAGTTGACATGCCCCCTTTCGAACCCAGACAATCTTTTCGGGATTGGTCTATTATCGAAAGTTTTTTCCAATCCGTAGTAGCTTCGAAAGTGGGTGGGTGGGTCAAGGCCAGTTACGGATTGAAAAACTTCCGAAAATCACACGTGCGCGTGCCACGTGTACGTCTACGTGTAGCCCCTGTTTTCCACGCGCGGCTGCGCGCGAACTGTCTACTACAAATATTTTTGTAGTTCTGGCAGTTTCTGCGCCCCCGCGCGCGCTTCCTTGGCTGCTCCTGGGCCGGTGATCATAAAGTTAGTTCGGCGCATTCGACGGCGAGTCGACACTTTCTATTTTTGAGTTTCACTGTCTCCTTCGTCCAGAGTACCGTCTTCCATGCACTCCTTTGAAGTCCTTCCGTCTAGCGCTGGCGCTGACGACTGTTATTGACTATGTCCAGACAGGCGACGTTGTTTGGAAAGGCGGTGAAGAAGCAGCCCTTTTTCAAAACCGCTGGTGACTCTGACATGATGTCACTATGACTCATGGACCAGCACTGATTGAGTTTGTTCCATACATGTATGTGTTGGGTTGTGTGTCCATCAATAATATTTTATTACGGACTGGGGGGGGGGGGGGGGTGGGTGGGTGGGTGAGGAAAAATTTGAAGCTACTACGGATTGGAAAAAACTTTCGATAATTGCGGACGACCCCTAAGTACACATGTACTACAATCATCATTAAAGTTAGTACCAGGACAACAGGCACTGCGTACATAACTAGGGTGCGTTTGGTTGGTACGATCCAGAACAGGATCGAACAGCTGGTGCGTGTGGAGCAGCCTCATGCCAACCAAACGGTACTCCAGAAACAGAGCATTTTTTTGTGAAAAATATGCCAAACTTGGCGCATTCTTCAAAATGTGTATGGGTCACCATGGTTACTGTATACGGTACGACGAGTCCAACCCAAAAGCGTATGCACGTGATCATTTGGGACCAAAATCGATGTTCCCGCCAGGTTTCACTGTGAAAAAGTGAAACTGCTCGGTCTGCTCCGGTCTCGAGGCCGGAGCAAGCAGAACATGTTCTGGCCGACTCAGTACAGGTGCAGTCCCAACCAAACGCGCTGTTCTGGTGAATCCTGTTCTAGTTCGTACCAATCAAACGCGCCCCTACTCTCTCACACATGCAGTCATCTTTAAACAATTATGCTCTATTTCTGATTCCTGTTATCATGAAGTACATAGTCAGCCATCTCTCTGTCCCCACGTCGTTTCTCCACTGACCAATTATTTTGTCATCATCAAATGTCAGCCTTCAGCATATCTCTGCTGTATTTGAGAGCGATGGAAAAGGGGATTTACATAAGAATTAGCTGAACTATATATAGTCACCATCAGTGCACACACAGGTGAAAACAGCTCAGTAACATACTTAACCGCACTCATACATTGCATCCAGCACAACACATTGAGCAGCATACAGCACACAGGCACACTGTGAAGGTCGGGTCTCCGTATGGATAAGAAAAACAAGACTTCCGAATAATGATGATGAAAATAGAGAAAGTGCAGTGCACAGTACACTAACAAGCTGTGTACCGTAATGACGTAATGACGTAATGACGTAATGATCCGGCAAGGCAACTGCAGCAGTGGTACATGGTGTAAACCTTGGTAAAGTGCAAAAGCATCATGTTGTGCAATGATAAGGAAAACAAGTGCAAGATCAGTGCAGACACACACACACACAAACACACACATTCTGTGCTGTAATTAAAAAAGAAGGCATGCCAAGGAAAGTGCAGTTCCGACAAAGTGTGTTCCTTACTGATTCAGAAAACAAAGTCAGAAAACAGCAGAGCATGAAAATACTTTGCCGACTCCAACCATGTAGAATACTAGAAGCGAAAAACAAAAAAAACAGTAACAAAAACAGCTGGCAGTGAAAAAGCAACGAAAACAGCTGGCAGTGAAAAAGCAACGAAAACAGCTGGAGGTGAAAAAGCAACGAAAATAGCAATGAAAACAGTGATGAGCTGCACAAAGACCACACTGTGATCTCACATCATGGATAAAAGTAATGAAGTGCATGATCAGTCCACACACCCACCCACACATGTATTCTGGGCTGTAGTGATAAGAAATGATACAAGCGCAACAGCACTGTACACAAACACACCATGTTGTGTAAAAGTCACAGAAAAAGAATGAAAACATCACTGCACACACACCCGCAATCATATTGCAGGTCGGTAGTGATGTAGGCTGGCAAGGGAATAACAATGACAAAAAAGCTCACAGGGGTCTGGAATGATGGGTAAAAAAGAGTGAAACTGTGGGTAACACAAACAAATTCTGTGGTGTAATGATGGGAAAAATAACAATCGAAAGAGCATAGCTGTAGTTCATAAACATAGTAATTGTGTCATGTAAAAAAAAGTAAAAAACAAGTGACATCGCAATGCACACACGCACACATACATTTCCATGAGGTAATGATGAAGACTAGCAAGTGAAGCTGCAGTGAAAATAATGCACAAACCACTACTGTGATCAGAAATGATGGACAAAAACATGTCCAGCTGTGCAACATGCAAACAACCATGACAGTGTAACGTGGTTAGAGAGTGTAGTCGCCTGTAACCTGTATGTGACAACCAAACACATACATGTACACACCATTTATACACACGTGTACACAAATACATGTTCACATACACACACGTGCGCGCACACACACAATGTACCATGTACCATGTATACGCCCGTCACAAGAGAAGCACAGAAATATGCAAATGCACTGGATGTGCACCCACAGATTTTCTCTTATAGCAACGATAGCGAACAAAAACTGAATGAGACAGATCAAGACTTGCGCCAGATAACTGTCTAATCCACACAACAAGCGAAGCCATGCGAATCGACCACCAATGCACACCTGGTCTGCACCACACGGAGTACATCGGCATAAAAGGGCAAAGACAGTTACCTATGCACACCCTACACTTGCTGGGGTAACCAGTATAGACAGCACGCAGCTTTGAGAGAAGCAGACACTAGATGCACCGGTACCTTGAAGTGAAATTGGAGTTACTTTACCAACCAGCTTCGGCTACTGAGCACTGGCAACCCAGAGCCAACAGACATACCAACAAACTCAGCCATGAAAGATATTATAGTAAGGACACACTGGATTGTGGAGCCGAAACTAGTCCAACTTCTAAATGCTTACACACACACACACACACACACACACACATGCATACACACACACACGCATACACACACACACGCACGCACACACACACACACACATACACACACACACACTTGAACTGAACTTGAACTTGCCCATTGCCGTAGGCAATGATAGCGGAAGGACTAATTCGGCGGCAGCCAGCAGAAAGGTTCGTGGCGCTTGAGATCGCCGGGGCGGCAACACGTCTTCCCGCAAGCACAACGATATTCTGGCTCGGCGGAGACATCACGAGGTTAAGGACGACGGTGGATGACCTCCCTAAACTCCGAGCGGTTCTGGGAAGTGTCAAGCCATTCCTTCTCCGGGAGAGGTGGATGAATGACCAATCCGGCGGACACACTTTGAAGCTCACAGAGGACTGGGCAAAGGAGTTAATCAAAATATACACCAAGTCCTGAGGGAAAAGCTCGTGCAAAGGACTTTCAGGAAACCAGCCGAAAAGACTGGTGCACGGCGTTGTGACTTAGGAAATGAGGTGCAGTAGATCTACGCCCAGGTGTTACATCAATTAAGCGGAAGCTATGACTGCACTGCATATACAAGCACCAGCGGCTCGCGTGGGTGATGATGAGCAAGTATGACAAGTGTAAGAGGAGATTTGAAGAAAAGAACACTGATATGGCCTTGCCTGGTGTGTGTCTCAAAGAATGGCATTATTGCGACGAATGGGATAACACTTATAGCCAACACGCGAGCGGTCTCGCTCAGCTTCTGAGCGGCAAGCTGACAGGCACAAACTGCCTAGAAGCCGGATTCAAGATGAGGAGAAGTGGAACAAGCTATGAAATGTGCTGCAGCTCGCCGGATCAAACATTTTGGGCTATTTCTCCAGCGACGATGGTGGTGAGTTACTCAGTAGGACGTCTAACTAGCTTGAATTTTTGGCCGAGTTGCCTACGGGCCATCCGTAAATATAGATATTTATTTAGAAACGAAAACTAGCTGTTTAGGGGGCGGGGAGGAAGTTGAGCGCCTGTTCGTTTCTCAATAAATATCGATGCACAATTTGTATGTGTGGTCCAGAAAAAAAGAAATAAATATCGATAAAATGTACCGTTTGTGTGTGTTCGTTTCTCGAGGAGGGGGGGGGGGGGGATCGGAGGGGGGTTGAAGAGAAATGACTAGTTTTTGTTTCTAAATAAATATCGGTATTTACGGATGACCTCTAATAAATACTGACATGTAAATAGTCATGTAGATAGTGTTTTGTACTCGTGGCATGCTTCAAACATATGTATTTCCTTGCTGAGACAAGTGTGAAGATAAGAGCCAATTGTAACTGAGCAGACCAAGTAGGAAATTCACTCTGCTACTACACCAACTAATACACCAACCAATCCATGGCCTTAATGTCTGCGTCATGGCACCTGCATGAAATACCATCCATGACCTTAATTTCTGAGTCATGGCACCTGCATGGAATACCATTAATTTTTCGCAAGACGAGTGTTTTAAATAATTGGGTATGGGAGGGCCTTCAAGCAGCCAAACAATTTTCAAGCAGTTGTCATGACAGCCCGCAGTGGTGATGTAATGAGATAGGAGTGTGCTGATCACTGACCTGATTAGACTCGATCACTCTCCGTCAGCAAACTGTTCATCTGCTCAAGCTGCGTTGTGTACTGTCCATAACCCTTGACGATCTTGCACAGCTTGATGTAGCCATCACGTTCCTGTGCCATGATGATAGCCAGTAGTTCAGAATTGTGATCTCTGCCACCGTAGTTCCTCAGGGTCAGTTTGAGCTTGTCAATCTGATCAAAAGCTAAGAAGCCGTACTCCTGTGCTTTGTCACGCAGGCCATTAGCATCCAGCTTTTGCAGCCAGATGTGGATTTTTGTTATGAAGATGGCATGGTCGAATGGGTTATCCAAGAACGTCTCTGAAAAGCAGAAAAGAACGTGATCATATATTGCTGAGCCCAATATACAATCTGATCCGGTACTGTTTCTGCCAAAGCAGCAATGGCAGTATAAATGTTCTGCAGACAAAGTGCCTGTTACATCAAATGATCAAATACCCTTAGAAACTCTTCCAGCCCGTCAATTTTATTTTAAATAAGCGACAAGGAGACAATAGCTTTCCCTGATGAGTGTGTTATGAAAATTGATAAGGAAATTTTGCTTCTAGATTCCTCATATTCTTCTCTTTTTGGTTTCGTAACCTCTGCCTCACTTATACTATTCTTGACTTGTTTTATCGGTTAAACGGGTCATTATCGACATCAAGCTTTTAAGTAGTGCATTCGCCTCATAATGCATGCTGCCCGAACACTCTGGTTGACTTTGCTATGAATGTTTCCACAGTTTTCACATCTGACAATAACGAGATTGCTGCAATACTCCTACACCTAGGTACCTAGCGTGGAATTTGCATTCAAGGTGCTTGCAATGCTTTTCTTTTCTCCAGCACGTTTTGCTCTTGCTCGTTTTGCTCTCGCTTTCATTGTTAAAATTCACACTTGTAAATTTCACTGCTGCTGTTCTTAGTGTCATTTCTCTAACTTAGATTTTCTACGATAGCTCCATTTTGTTTCAGTGACCTTTAGTACAACGACGATTCCTGATGAGTGTTGAACGAAAACTTGTTTGAATCCTTGTTTTCTCTACACAATTTCTTCATATTTTCATCGTTTTATTGTACATTGTCTCCACCGTTTCACATTGTATGAATAAAGTGTACACAAATGTCGATTCCGCTTGTCTTATGGATTGCGGTTATCAAATTATTGTCTCCTCGCCGTTTGTTTAAATAGACTTATGCCTCTCCATATTCACCCTATCATCCCTACAGCTCAACAAAAGAGTCACGTTGGTCAAACATGTACATGTACGCAGAACTAACGTAAGTCCTTGTTACTTCACCACCGACTGGCATGGTTTTGCCTGAATCGGAGAGTGACGTGTTCCTGACAGAGTCTTATTCAACTTTTTTTTAGGGTCGATCGGGTAAACGTACTGGTGCATGTGGCAAGAGAGGCGACGACCTTGGAGAACACGCTCGAGCCAATCACCTTGGAGAACACGCTCGAGCCAATCACCTTGGAGAACACGCTCGAGCCAATCACCTTGGACAACATGCTTGTGCTTTACGAGAGCCAATTGTCGTCCGTTTCGATGCGAAGATTTGACGAATCCGTGAGCATCACGCCAATTCGGTAGTCGGTTCATAGACAGCGATCCAAGCGATTCTGACCCCCTTTTTTATTTTCAGGCAGCGCTCCGGAGCTGTTGTATGCCCTAGAAAAGTTCTACAAAAACGGCCGTAAGCAGAATATTCCTGAGTACAACGAAATTCCTTGTTTGCCGCTCGATCCGAAATCCATCGACATATCGATCGTCCGAAACCTTGTTTACTGGCTTTTAAAAACGCTGCGTCTGTGAAGATGCTCCGTCTGTTCACTGTTCACTGTTCACTGTTCACTGTTCACTGTTCACTGTTCACTGTTCACTGTTCACTGTTCACTGTTCACTGTTCACTGTTCACTGTTCACTGTTCACTGTTCACTGTTCACTGTTCACTGTTCACTGTTCACTGTTCACTGTTCACTGTTCACTGTTCACTGTTCACTGTTCACTGTTCACTGTTCACTGTTCACTGTTCACTGTTCACTGTTCACTGTTCACTGTTCACTGTTCACTGTTCACTGTTCACTGTTCACTGTTCACTGTTCACTGTTCACTGTTCACTGTTCACTGTTCACTGTTCACTGTTCACTGTTCACTGTTCACTGTTCACTGTTCACTGTTCACTGTTCACTGTTCACTGTTCACTGTTCACTGTTCACTGTTCACTGTTCACTGTTCACTGTTCACTGTTCACTGTTCACTGTTCACTGTTCACTGTTCACTGTTCACTGTTCACTGTTCACTGTTCACTGTTCACTGTTCACTGTTCACTGTTCACTGTTCACTGTTCACTGTTCACTGTTCACTGTTCACTGTTCACTGTTCACTGTTCACTGTTCACTGTTCACTGTTCACTGTTCACTGTTCACTGTTCACTGTTCACTGTTCACTGTTCACTGTTCACTGTTCACTGTTCACTGTTCACTGTTCACTGTTCACTGTTCACTGTTCACTGTTCACTGTTCACTGTTCACTGTTCACTGTTCACTGTTCACTGTTCACTGTTCACTGTTCACTGTTCACTGTTCACTGTTCACTGTTCACTGTTCACTGTTCACTGTTCACTGTTCACTGTTCACTGTTCACTGTTCACTGTTCACTGTTCACTGTTCACTGTTCACTGTTCACTGTTCACTGTTCACTGTTCACTGTTCACTGTTCACTGTTCACTGTTCACTGTTCACTGTTCACTGTTCACTGTTCACTGTTCACTGTTCACTGTTCACTGTTCACTGTTCACTGTTCACTGTTCACTGTTCACTGTTCACTGTTCACTGTTCACTGTTCACTGTTCACTGTTCACTGTTCACTGTTCACTGTTCACTGTTCACTGTTCACTGTTCACTGTTCACTGTTCACTGTTCACTGTTCACTGTTCACTGTTCACTGTTCACTGTTCACTGTTCACTGTTCACTGTTCACTGTTCACTGTTCACTGTTCACTGTTCACTGTTCACTGTTCACTGTTCACTGTTCACTGTTCACTGTTCACTGTTCACTGTTCACTGTTCACTGTTCACTGTTCACTGTTCACTGTTCACTGTTCACTGTTCACTGTTCACTGTTCACTGTTCACTGTTCACTGTTCACTGTTCACTGTTCACTGTTCACTGTTCACTGTTCACTGTTCACTGTTCACTGTTCACTGTTCACTGTTCACTGTTCACTGTTCACTGTTCACTGTTCACTGTTCACTGTTCACTGTTCACTGTTCACTGTTCACTGTTCACTGTTCACTGTTCACTGTTCACTGTTCACTGTTCACTGTTCACTGTTCACTGTTCACTGTTCACTGTTCACTGTTCACTGTTCACTGTTCACTGTTCACTGTTCACTGTTCACTGTTCACTGTTCACTGTTCACTGTTCACTGTTCACTGTTCACTGTTCACTGTTCACTGTTCACTGTTCACTGTTCACTGTTCACTGTTCACTGTTCACTGTTCACTGTTCACTGTTCACTGTTCACTGTTCACTGTTCACTGTTCACTGTTCACTGTTCACTGTTCACTGTTCACTGTTCACTGTTCACTGTTCACTGTTCACTGTTCACTGTTCACTGTTCACTGCTCACTGCTCACTGCTCACTGCTCACTGCTCACTGCTCACTGCTCACTGCTCACTGCTCACTGCTCACTGCTCACTGCTCACTGCTCACTGCTCACTGCTCACTGCTCACTGCTCACTGCTCACTGCTCACTGCTCACTGCTCACTGCTCACTGCTCACTGCTCACTGCTCACTGCTCACTGCTCACTGCTCACTGCTCACTGCTCACTGCTCACTGCTCACTGCTCACTGCTCACTGCTCACTGCTCACTGCTCACTGCTCACTGCTCACTGCTCACTGCTCACTGCTCACTGTTCACTGTTCACTGTTCACTGTTCACTGTTCACTGCTCACTGCTCACTGCTCACTGTTCACTGCTCACTGTTCACTGTTCACTGTTCACTGTTCACTGTTCACTGTTCACTGTTCACTGTTCACTGTTCACTGTTCACTGTTCACTGTTCACTGTTCACTGTTCACTGTTCACTGTTCACTGTTCACTGTTCACTGTTCACTGTTCACTGTTCACTGTTCACTGTTCACTGTTCACTGTTCACTGTTCACTGTTCACTGTTCACTGTTCACTGTTCACTGTTCACTGTTCACTGTTCACTGTTCACTGTTCACTGTTCACTGTTCACTGTTCACTGTTCACTGTTCACTGTTCACTGTTCACTGTTCACTGTTCACTGTTCACTGTTCACTGTTCACTGTTCACTGTTCACTGTTCACTGTTCACTGTTCACTGTTCACTGTTCACTGTTCACTGTTCACTGTTCACTGTTCACTGTTCACTGTTCACTGTTCACTGTTCACTGTTCACTGTTCACTGTTCACTGTTCACTGTTCACTGTTCACTGTTCACTGTTCACTGTTCACTGTTCACTGTTCACTGTTCACTGTTCACTGTTCACTGTTCACTGTTCACTGTTCACTGTTCACTGTTCACTGTTCACTGTTCACTGTTCACTGTTCACTGTTCACTGTTCACTGTTCACTGTTCACTGTTCACTGTTCACTGTTCACTGTTCACTGTTCACTGTTCACTGTTCACTGTTCACTGTTCACTGTTCACTGTTCACTGTTCACTGTTCACTGTTCACTGTTCACTGTTCACTGTTCACTGTTCACTGTTCACTGTTCACTGTTCACTGTTCACTGTTCACTGTTCACTGTTCACTGTTCACTGTTCACTGTTCACTGTTCACTGTTCACTGTTCACTGTTCACTGTTCACTGTTCACTGTTCACTGTTCACTGTTCACTGTTCACTGTTCACTGTTCACTGTTCACTGTTCACTGTTCACTGTTCACTGTTCACTGTTCACTGTTCACTGTTCACTGTTCACTGTTCACTGTTCACTGTTCACTGTTCACTGTTCACTGTTCACTGTTCACTGTTCACTGTTCACTGTTCACTGTTCACTGTTCACTGTTCACTGTTCACTGTTCACTGTTCACTGTTCACTGTTCACTGTTCACTGTTCACTGTTCACTGTTCACTGTTCACTGTTCACTGTTCACTGTTCACTGTTCACTGTTCACTGTTCACTGTTCACTGTTCACTGTTCACTGTTCACTGTTCACTGTTCACTGTTCACTGTTCACTGTTCACTGTTCACTGTTCACTGTTCACTGTTCACTGTTCACTGTTCACTGTTCACTGTTCACTGTTCACTGTTCACTGTTCACTGTTCACTGTTCACTGTTCACTGTTCACTGTTCACTGTTCACTGTTCACTGTTCACTGTTCACTGTTCACTGTTCACTGTTCACTGTTCACTGTTCACTGTTCACTGTTCACTGTTCACTGTTCACTGTTCACTGTTCACTGTTCACTGTTCACTGTTCACTGTTCACTGTTCACTGTTCACTGTTCACTGTTCACTGTTCACTGTTCACTGTTCACTGTTCACTGTTCACTGTTCACTGTTCACTGTTCACTGTTCACTGTTCACTGTTCACTGTTCACTGTTCACTGTTCACTGTTCACTGTTCACTGTTCACTGTTCACTGTTCACTGTTCACTGTTCACTGTTCACTGTTCACTGTTCACTGTTCACTGTTCACTGTTCACTGTTCACTGTTCACTGTTCACTGTTCACTGTTCACTGTTCACTGCTCACTGCTCACTGCTCACTGCTCACTGCTCACTGCTCACTGCTCACTGCTCACTGCTCACTGCTCACTGCTCACTGCTCACTGCTCACTGCTCACTGCTCACTGCTCACTGCTCACTGCTCACTGCTCACTGCTCACTGCTCACTGCTCACTGCTCACTGCTCACTGCTCACTGCTCACTGCTCACTGCTCACTGCTCACTGCTCACTGCTCACTGCTCACTGCTCACTGCTCACTGCTCACTGCTCACTGCTCACTGCTCACTGCTCACTGCTCACTGCTCACTGCTCACTGCTCACTGCTCACTGCTCACTGCTCACTGCTCACTGCTCACTGCTCACTGCTCACTGCTCACTGCTCACTGCTCACTGCTCACTGCTCACTGCTCACTGCTCACTGCTCACTGCTCATTGCTCACTGCTCACTGCTCACTGCTCACTGCTCACTGCTCACTGCTCACTGCTCACTGCTCACTGCTCACTGCTCACTGCTCACTGCTCACTGCTCACTGCTCACTGTTCACTGTTCACTGTTCACTGTTCACTGTTCACTGCTCACTGCTCACTGCTCACTGCTCACTGCTCACTGCTCACTGCTCACTGCTCACTGCTCACTGCTCACTGCTCACTGCTCACTGCTCACTGCTCACTGCTCACTGCTCACTGCTCACTGCTCACTGCTCACTGCTCACTGCTCACTGCTCACTGCTCACTGTTCACTGTTCACTGTTCACTGTTCACTGTTCACTGTTCACTGTTCACTGTTCACTGTTCACTGTTCACTGTTCACTGTTCACTGTTCACTGTTCACTGTTCACTGTTCACTGTTCACTGTTCACTGTTCACTGTTCACTGTTCACTGTTCACTGTTCACTGTTCACTGCTCACTGCTCACTGCTCACTGCTCACTGCTCACTGCTCACTGCTCACTGCTCACTGCTCACTGCTCACTGCTCACTGCTCACTGCTCACTGCTCACTGCTCACTGCTCACTGTTCACTGTTCACTGTTCACTGTTCACTGTTCACTGTTCACTGTTCACTGTTCACTGTTCACTGTTCACTGTTCACTGTTCACTGTTCACTGTTCACTGTTCACTGTTCACTGTTCACTGTTCACTGTTCACTGTTCACTGTTCACTGTTCACTGTTCACTGTTCACTGTTCACTGTTCACTGTTCACTGTTCACTGTTCACTGTTCACTGTTCACTGTTCACTGTTCACTGCTCACTGCTCACTGCTCACTGCTCACTGCTCACTGCTCACTGCTCACTGCTCACTGTTCACTGTTCACTGTTCACTGTTCACTGTTCACTGTTCACTGTTCACTGTTCACTGTTCACTGTTCACTGTTCACTGTTCACTGTTCACTGTTCACTGTTCACTGTTCACTGTTCACTGTTCACTGTTCACTGTTCACTGTTCACTGTTCACTGTTCACTGTTCACTGTTCACTGTTCACTGTTCACTGTTCACTGTTCACTGTTCACTGCTCACTGCTCACTGCTCACTGCTCACTGCTCACTGTTCACTGTTCACTGTTCACTGTTCACTGTTCACTGTTCACTGTTCACTGTTCACTGTTCACTGTTCACTGTTCACTGTTCACTGTTCACTGTTCACTGTTCACTGTTCACTGTTCACTGTTCACTGTTCACTGTTCACTGTTCACTGTTCACTGTTCACTGTTCACTGTTCACTGCTCACTGCTCACTGCTCACTGCTCACTGCTCACTGCTCACTGTTCACTGTTCACTGTTCACTGTTCACTGTTCACTGTTCACTGTTCACTGTTCACTGTTCACTGTTCACTGTTCACTGTTCACTGTTCACTGTTCACTGCTCACTGCTCACTGCTCACTGCTCACTGTTCACTGTTCACTGTTCACTGTTCACTGTTCACTGTTCACTGTTCACTGTTCACTGTTCACTGTTCACTGTTCACTGTTCACTGTTCACTGTTCACTGTTCACTGTTCACTGTTCACTGTTCACTGTTCACTGTTCACTGTTCACTGTTCACTGTTCACTGTTCACTGTTCACTGTTCACTGTTCACTGCTCACTGCTCACTGCTCACTGCTCACTGCTCACTGCTCACTGCTCACTGCTCACTGCTCACTGTTCACTGTTCACTGTTCACTGTTCACTGTTCACTGTTCACTGTTCACTGTTCACTGTTCACTGTTCACTGTTCACTGTTCACTGTTCACTGTTCACTGTTCACTGTTCACTGTTCACTGTTCACTGTTCACTGTTCACTGTTCACTGTTCACTGTTCACTGTTCACTGTTCACTGTTCACTGTTCACTGTTCACTGTTCACTGTTCACTGTTCACTGTTCACTGTTCACTGTTCACTGTTCACTGTTCACTGTTCACTGTTCACTGTTCACTGTTCACTGTTCACTGTTCACTGTTCACTGTTCACTGTTCACTGTTCACTGTTCACTGCTCACTGCTCACTGCTCACTGCTCACTGCTCACTGCTCACTGCTCACTGCTCACTGTTCACTGTTCACTGTTCACTGTTCACTGTTCACTGTTCACTGTTCACTGTTCACTGTTCACTGTTCACTGTTCACTGTTCACTGTTCACTGTTCACTGTTCACTGTTCACTGTTCACTGTTCACTGTTCACTGTTCACTGTTCACTGTTCACTGTTCACTGTTCACTGTTCACTGTTCACTGTTCACTGTTCACTGTTCACTGTTCACTGTTCACTGTTCACTGTTCACTGTTCACTGTTCACTGTTCACTGTTCACTGTTCACTGTTCACTGTTCACTGTTCACTGTTCACTGTTCACTGTTCACTGTTCATTGTTCACTGTTCATTGTTCACTGTTCACTGTTCACTGTTCACTGTTCACTGTTCACTGTTCACTGTTCACTGTTCACTGTTCACTGTTCACTGTTCACTGTTCACTGTTCACTGTTCATTGTTCACTGTTCACTGTTGGCTGATACTAGTAACTTGTCAGCACATGGTCACATGCGGATTCAGCGCCCAGTGGCAAGCAAGGAATTTCGTTTGTACTGAGAAAAGTCCTGTTTACGGAAGTTAGAGTAGAACCTTTCTACAACACTCGCCAGCTCTGGTGTACTGAGTGAAGAGAAATTCAGCTCAGCACCGAGTACTGCTCTCTTCACAGTACGTATCGAAAAGTGGTGAATATAAGCGGTGAATATCTAGCAATATTCACCACTTATGTAGATGGCCAATTGCATGAGGGTGAATATGGAATGAAGTATAAGCCAGTGTATGTAGAGCAAGAAGGTATGTATTTTTGCTTATGTATATAGCATACAGACAGACTAAGACAACAATAGTAACAGCACACACATTGAAGGGCAGTTGAGTGCAGATAGATGAGACCAGAATGAAGGGAGAAGTCTTATGTTAAAAGGAATAACGCACCTGTTTGTTCAGAGAGCTCCGCTTCATCCTCCTCATGCAGGCTTGCAATGCGTTCGTCTGTTGACCGCATGGCATGGCTGAAGACACACACACGCACACAAACACACACACAAACACACACACAAACACACACACACACACACACACAAACACACACACACACACACATAAACACACACACAAACACATACATACACACCTCAGACATGCCCATCGCGGAAGCGATGATAGCGAACAGCTATGTTAGACATAGCAACTTGTGCTGGGATTACACCATTCAAAAGCTTGCAAGGCTGATGAGTTGACCGCCACTATTTTTAGCCTGGTATCCACCACACAGCTGTTTGAAGTGACTTTTTCTGGCCAGTGAATCCCTATTTTTCATTTTTCCATTCTTTTCTACACACACACCACACCACATACTCCGGCATACACTGGCTGTTGGTAACCACCCAGGAGAATGAAAGAAAAGTCAGGAAGAGTCCGAGAAAGAGAAGAAAGATGTGTGCGACCATAATCGTCGGGAATTGAACCCGCAACCTCTCGATTCGAAATCGACTGCACATACCACTGCACCATATGGGACACACACATACACGCGGACATACATACACACACACATACAGTAAAACCTAGTTTAAGCGACCATCCCACGGTGCAAGGGAAAGCGGTCATTAAAGCCAGGTGGTCTTTAGAACCAGGTCCCACACTCTCTGTGTAGAACTGTCTGTGCATGGAAAAACGGTGGTTAAGATCAGGTAGTGGTTAAAACGAGAGGTCACTTAAACCAGGTTTTACTGTACACACACATTTTAAATGAACAAACATGCAATATACTCACCAGTTGATCACATCAAAATACATACATGCGCACACATATAGATGCCGACATTCCTGGCCGCACTCCTGCGCGCATTCCTGCCCACACTCTTGCCACCGCCCAAACTCCTGCCCACACTCTTGTCCGCACACCTTGCCCACGCTCCCCTGCCCACACTTCTCTGCACGCAGTCCTGACCGCACTACAGCCCAATCTCCTGCCAACATTCCTGAACACAATCATGCTCGCACTCCTACCTATACTCCTCCCCGCACTTCTCTGCTCACATGCCTGATCACAGTCCTTCCGGCACTCCTTCCCACACACCCTCCAACGCTGCTCAGTCCTGCCCGCACGCCTCAGTCCTGCCCGCACTCCTCAGTCCTGCCCGCACTCCCCAGCCCTGCCCGCACTACTGCCTACACTTCTGGCCGCATTACTGCCTACATTTTTGCCCGCACTACCGCCTAGTGGTGAAATCCGACATCTCTCCTCTTGGACCCACGGTCGAAGATTGCCTCAACACTGCACGGGACAAAAAGCTATGGCTGTACTTTGTTGACAAATGTACATCGGTGTAACCAAAATAGCATGTACTTGTCATGCGCTAGATCCTGTATATGTTTTTTTCGTATGCTATTCTTTCTGCTGCAATCTATTTCATGGTGAAACAGTTGATAGATGCATGGAACCCATTATTCGGGAGACATGCGACCTGTATTATTATTATTATGATTGCCACCTACAATTCTGCCCACACTACTGCCTAAACTCTTCAGTGCTGCCTGCACTGCTGCCTACACGTCTGCCCGCAGTTCTCTTCACACACTTTACCTCACACCAGGCTTTAGGCTGTACACCCGTTCATGCACTCCCCACAATATGCTGAAGTGATTATTTGCAAAATATGTCATTTAGTGAGCAGTGTAGGGAAATTATTGCTACTGCCTACTGACCAGTACTTTGGCCGAGTGGTTGTGGGCTTGCCTGCCAATCCCAAGGTTCTGAGTTCAAGACCAGTGCTGACACCAGTGAGCGTGTACTGTGTTAACAAGTGCTGTGATGCAAGCGTGAACCACTTTACATGCAGTTAACTGCTCTGACACCCAAGGTCAACTGGCTACTCACTACACTGTCACGTGCTGCATCTGCCACCCTGGTATCTCAGGCATGGTGGTGGCCTTGTAGAAGCGAAACTTCCTAAACTGGTTGTGTTTCTCAACACAATTGCATAGCCGGTTTTGTTGCGCAACTGCAATCTTTACTTTCTTCTGATTATGTACTTCAAATAGGGAAATGTGTTTTAAATAGGATCTGGGAACTACACAGCTCAATAAGACCTTTCTGGTTTCTAGGAATGACGCCGCCACAAGAAAAGACCACATGAAAATACCACATGAAAAGACAACATTAAAAGACTACATGAAGAGACCACATGAAGAGACAACATGAAAAGACCACATGAAAAGACCACATGAAGAGACCACATGAAGAGACAACATGAAGAGACCACATGAAAAGACCACATGAAGAGACCACATGAAGAGACAACATGAAGAGACCACATGAAGAGACCACATGAAGAGACAACATGAAAAGACCACATGAAAAGACCACATGAAGAGACCACATGAAGAGACAACATGAAAGGCGTCAGATGCCGCTTCTTTACGGATGCAGAGGAAAATTCAGATCCACCAATTACAGTATACGGGAAAAGGTGAACACCTACTTTCTGCATCAATGTTGCCCTGTTTTCCACACCTCGTGTTCCCAACTCACTGTGGTGTACAGCACAGTTGAAGCAATCCTCTTCAAGTCAGGACTTGATCATGATACATATACCTGTCATTGCACAATCATGGTCTGAGAACTCACTCACTGGGCCGGCCTGACTCATTATGTTCGAAATGGTGCAGTACATTTCACTGAACTATACCAAGGACTGATTCAACTGTTCTATACTTCATTGTTGAGTAATGCATGAGTAGAACTTACAGTGGTGAACCGGGTAGGACAACACCACAGCGGCTTCCATGAGCAGCATGATGCTCAGCATGCCCTGATACATTCAACAGTAAAGAACAGAAAGCAGCATACAAAAACTATCCATGTCTCGGTGCAGACAAATTTGATTATAGGAATGGGTATAAATTGTAAACTGATTTCATAAAAGGTAAGCATAAAACACATACCCAACTTGTCATGTATTCACTATCCACAGAGACAATGACTCTTTTTTTCGTACAGAATCTCCTGCAAACTGAAGTTCTCTTTGAGACCTGAGCAAGCTCATAGATCAAATGTGCCACTAGATTCAAAAAGGCGGCTTATGTCATTTTTGAGCATTGTGAGTGACCTATACCCTGGCATTGCTGTATCCCAGGAGAGCACTTTGTAAAAACACCTAGGTCTAAAATTGTTATGTTTCACAGAGTTATAGATGTTTTAAAAAGTGAGTTATACATGTACATCACTTTATGCGGAAACACACAACTTTAAAATGCCATTTTTCTCAGTACTGCGTGAAACGACATAAGCGTGGATGTTCCCAAGTTGTACATTGTACTGTTGAGATACCCAATTCAAATAAATCAATACAATAAGTAAGTAAAGTAAATTATCGTGTCCGTTCCCGAAGGGAGCTCACGACGGCCGCTAACACCCGCTAACAATCAATACAATACAAAACAACAAAAATAGAAAAAACCTCTTTTTCCGATCTAGAGGCTCAAGTTGTGTTGCAAGATAGTTTGAAATGGACATTTGCACACAAGTAAACTAACACTAGCATACACGGAGCACACATGGTGTATTGAGAACATTCAACTTTACCAGCATCAGCTTGGCAAGCGGCAGTGGACTGACTGGCTTGATCAGAGTGTGACTGGCTGGCGGAAGGAACGCTCTCTGCCGAGTCTGATTGAACATTAGAGAAAGTGAATTAAGAAACTATCCATGTCTCTGTGCAGAAATATTCGATTATAGGAATGTGTATCAAATCCTAAAGGTAGGCATAACAGACATACCCAACCAGTCATGTGTTCATTATCCACAGAGAGAAATATTCTCTTTTTTCGTGTAGAATCCCATGCAAACCGAAGTTCTCTTTGAGACCTGAGCAAGCCCATAGATCAAATTGTGTTGCAAGATAGTGTGAAGTAGACATTTGCACACAAGTAACTAGAAGTAGCATACAAGGAGCACACATGGTGTATTGAGCACATTCAACTTTAAATAAGCGACGAGGAGATAATAGCTTTCCCTGATGAGTGTGTCATGAAAAATGATTAGGAAATTTTGCATTTTGATTCATCATATTATTATTTTTTTTTGTTTCGTAACGTCCGCCTTACTAATACTATTCTTGACTTGTTTTATCGGCTGAACGCGTCCTTATCGACATCAAGTTTTTAAGTTGTGCATTCGCCTCATAATGCATGCTGCCAGAACACTCTGGTTGACTTTGCTATGAATGAAGCCACAGTTTTCACATCTGACATTAACGAGATTGCTTCAATACTTCTACACCTAGGTACCTTACAATAACGAGATTGCTTCAACACTTCTGCACCTAGATACCTGACAATAACGAGATTTCTACACCTAGGTACCTGGCGTGGTATTTGCATTCACGGTGCTTGCAATGCTTTTCTTTTCTCCAGCATATTTCAAGACAAGATGATACAGTTTGTTTTACATCACCAGGCATACACATAATTATGGGATAGGTGTGCAATGAGATTGGTGATCTGTCTACTCATGATTAGTCACAGACTGTTAATCCACACACTTGTGATAAGTCACGCACTATTGCCTCATCCACTCAACATAAGCCAAGCACTTTCGAAGCCCGGACGTTAAAAAAAATAATTTCTGGACAGGCAAGCGCAGCGAGTTAGGCAAGAAAATATTTCTCGGGCAATATATTTCGGTTGCAACTATGGCATCTGATGACTTTTTTATCGTTGTTTCTTTTCCTGGCTTCCTCAATCAGGTTTGAATCTCATCAGTATCCATGCCCTTCCAACCTTCATTTCTATGCACATAAATATTGCTTTTCAAACTTTTCCTATGATGTGATTTGCCTGCTTACATGATGCCATACAATCACCATTGGGGACATGCACCTGGTTTTTACCCTCACTGTGCTTCGGCGCGAGGATTTTTTCTGCCTGGCGCGGTCCATGAAAATTAATCTGACCGTCCCCCATGTTTCAAGAAGCAGTGCTGTTCTGCATTGTGACCCATCCTTGCAATCCTCGTGCATACTGTCTTCTTTCTATTTAAACAATTCTGTTCTCAGTCAGTATTTCTAGACTTCTCTCGTCATCCGGTTCACATCTATCTGCGGTCAACTGTCCTTCAATTAGTGTGCTGTTCCTATTTATGAATATGTCTGTCTCTAAAACAGAGAGGTTCCAGGCTGTCCAAGAGAGTGCTCAATACCGAGAGGCAGAGCCGGTTCAGACAATAAAAGGACAAAGATAGTATTTTAACTCTGAGTTTCACGCACTAAGCGATCATCAGAAAACAGTTACTATTGCCTGTATGTCTGTCTATATGTAATATCTATTATTAATAGACTTATGCCTCTCCATATTCACCCTATCATCCCTACAGCTCAACAAACGAGTCACGGTGGTCATACATGTACATGTACGCAGAGCTAACGTAAGTCGTTGTTACTTCACTACCGACTGGCATTGTCTTGAATGAATCGGAGAGCGATGACTGTGTTCTTGACAGAATCTTGTTCAAGTTTGTTAGGACAGATCGTGGACACGTACTGGTGCCTGTGGCGCGGGACGCGACGACCTTGGAGAACACGCTCGAGCCAATCACCTTGGAGAACACACTCGAGCCAATCACCTTGGAGAGCACGCTCGAGCCAATCACCTTGGAGAACACGCTCGAGCCGATCACCTTGGAGAGCACGCTCGAGCCAATCACCTTGGAGAACACGCTCGAGCCAATCACCTTGGAGAACACGCTCGAGCCAATCACCTTGGAGAGCACGCTTGTGATTTACGTGAGCCAATCATCGTCCGTTTCGATGAGAAGATTTGACCAATCTGTAAGCATCATTCTCGGGAGTCGGTTAATAGACAGCAATCTAAGCGATTGTGCCCTCCCATATTTTCTTTTCAGGCAGCGCACCGGAGCTGTTGTGTGCCCTAGAAAAGTTCTACGCCAACGTCCATAATCAGAATATTTCTGAGTACAAACGAAATTCCTTGCCTGCCACTCGATCCGCAATCCATGGACATGCCGAGCGTAAAAAACATTGTTTGCTCGCTGGCTGATGACTTGTCACCACCTGGTCACATGCCGATTTAATTTGTACTCAGAAAAGTCCTGTGTGCGGAAGTTAGCGTAGAAATTTTCTACGGCACTCGCCATCTCCGGGGCGCTGACTGAAGAGAAATTAAGCTCAGCACCGAGTACTGCTCTCTTTACAGTACGTATCGAAAAGTGGTGAATATAAGCGGTGAATATCTAGCAATATCCACCACTTATGTAGATGGCCAATTGCATGAGGGTGAGTATGGAATGAAGTATAAGCCAGTGTATGTAGAGCAAGAAGGTATGTATTTTTGTATGTTTTCGTGTATGTATATAGCATACAGACACACTAAGACAACAATGGTAACAGCACTCAAATTGAAGGGCAGTTGAGTGCAGATAGATGAGAACAGGATAAAGAGAGCAGTATTATGTTAAACGGAAAAAACGCACCTGTTTGTTCAGAGAGCTCCGCTTCATTCTCCTCGTACAGGTTTGCAATGCGTTCGTCCGTTGACCACATGCCATGGCTGTAGATACACACGCACACGCACACACACACACACACGCACACGCACACGCACACACACACACACACACACACACACACACACACACACACCTGGTCCTGGTCCTGGTAAACACTGCCATTATGGTCACGTTTTCCCACTACGGGGCCGACAATATAGAACGACGAGCGGGACCATGTTCGAGAGAGCCATCTCCAGCAGCTATGGATCTGGCTTATCATCGGAAACGATTCCTCTCACGGCTTCCGCTAGAACTGGTCCATCACTCTCTACAACAGAGCGAGCATTCCATGAGCCAACGCTCAGCACACACACACACACACACACATACACACACACACACACACACACACACACACACAAATACACTCACACACACACACACACACACACACACACACACACACACACACATACATACAAACTCACGAACACATTCAAAACGAACAAACATGGAACAATTCTAACCATTTGATGACATAATTCGATACTTGCACACACACATGTAGATGCCCACATTACTGGCCGCACTCCTGCACACATTCCTGCTCATACTCTTGCCTACGCCCAAACTCCTGCCCACACTCCTGTCTGCACACTTTGCCCACGTTGCCCTTGCCCACACTCCCGGCCCACTCTCCCTGCCCACACTTCTCTGCCCACACTCCCCCACCCACACTCCCCCTGCCCACACTCCCTGCCCACACTCGCTGCCCACACTACTCTGCCCACACTCCACCTGCCCACACTCCCTGCCCACACTCCCTGCCCACCCTTCTCTGCCCACATTTCTCTGCCCATACTCCTCTGTCCACACTCCCCTGTCCACACTTCCCTGCCCACACTCCCTACCCACACTCCCCTGCCCACACTCCCCTGCCCACACTTCTCTGCCCACACTCCCCTGCCCACACTCCCCTGCCCACACTCCCCTGCTCACACTCCCCTGCCCACACTCCCCTGCGCACACTCCCCTGCCCACACTCCCCTGCCCACACTCCCCTGCTCACACTCCCCTGCCCACACTCCCCTGCCCACACTCCCCTGCGCACACTCCCCTGCCCACACTCCCCTGCCCACACTCCCCTGCCCACACTCCCCTGCCAACACTCCCCTGCCCACACTTCTCTGCCCACACTCCCCTGCCCACACTCCCCTGCCCACACTCCCTGCCCACTCTTCTCTACCCACACTCCCCTGCCCACACTCCCCTGCCCACACTCCCCTGCCCACACTCCCCTGCCCACACTCCCCTGCCCACACTCCCCTGTCCACACTCCCCTGGCCACACTCCCCTGCCCAAACTCCCCTGCCCATACTCCCCTGCCCACACTCCCCTGCCCACACTCCCCTGCCCACACTCCCCTGCCCACACTCCCCTGCCCACACTCCCCTGCCCACACTCCCCTGCCCACACTCCCCTGCCCACACTCCCCTGGCCACACTCCCCTGCCCAAACTCCCCTGCCCATACTCCCCTGCCCACACTCCCCTGCCCACACTCCCCTGCCCACACTCCCCTGCCCACACTCCCCTGCCCACACTCCCCTACCCACACTCCCCTGCCCACACTCCCCTGCCCACACTCCCCTGCCCACACTCCCCTGCCCACACTCCCCTGCCCACACTCCCCTGCCCACACTCCCTTGCCCACACTCCCCTGCCCACACTCCCCTGCCCAAACTCCCCTGCCCACACTCCCCTGCCCACACTCCCCTGCCCACACTCCCCTGCCCACACTCCCCTGCCCACACTTCTCTACCATGGCTCCAGGTTCACGGATATGTGTTTACTGGCTGACATTATGCCATCTGTGGTTAGTGCACCCACACAGTCACTGGCCACAGTGTGAGCGGACCTAGCTTCCCCAGGAGACCCCCTTTCAGAAGAACAGTGTACACTCTGCCCACACTCCCCTGCCAACACTTCTCTGCACATTCAGACCCATGCCCACACTCCTAACCACCCTCACACTCCTCCCCTCACTTCTCTGCTGGCATTCTTGATGACACTCCTGGCCTCACTCCTGCCGGCACTCCATCACACACTCCCTCCCGCGCTGCTAAGTCCTGCCCGCCCTTCTCAGTCCTGCCTGCCCTCCTCAGTCCTGCCCGCCCTCCTCAGTCCTGCCCGCTCTCCTCAGTCCTGCCCGCCCTCCTCAGTCCTGCCCGCCCTCCTCAGTTCTGCCCGCCCTCCTCCTCAGTCCTGTCTGCACTACTGCACAACTGCCTAGAGTACTGTAGGCAGTTGTGTAGGCAGTACTGCCTACACAACTGCCTACACAACTGCCTTCAGTCCTCAGTGCTGCCTGCACTACTTCCCGAACAACTGCCGACAATTCTAACCACACTACCGTCTACACTACTGCCCACACTACTGCCTACACTACTGCCTACACTACTGCCTACACTACTGCCTACACTACTGCCTACACTACTGCCTACACTACTGCCTACACTACTGCCTACACTACTGCCTACACTACTGCCTACACTACTGCCCACACTACTGCCTACACTACTGCCTACACTACTGCCTACACTACTGCCTGCACTACTGCCTACACTACTGCCTGCACTACTGCCTACACTACTACCCACAATACTGCCCACATTACTGCCTACACTACTGCCTACACTACTGCCTACACTACTGCCTACACTACTGCCTTCAGTCCTCAGTGCTGCCTGCACTACTTCCCGAACAACTGCTGACAATTCTAACCACACTACCGCCTACACTACTGCCCACACTACTGCCTACACTACTGCCTACACTACTGCCTACACTACTGCCTACACTACTGCCTACACTACTGCCTACACTACTGCCCACACTTCTGCCCACACTACTGCCTACACTACTGCCTACACTACTGCCTACACTACTGCATACACTACTTCCCGAACAACTGCCAACAATTCTACCCACACTTCCGCCTACACTACTGCCTACACAACTGCCTACACTTCTGCCTACACGCCTACACTACTGCCTTCAATTCTGCCCGCAGGTCTCTTCACACACTTTACCTGACACCAGGCTTTAGGCATGCACTCACCACAATTTCCTGCTGAATTGATAATTTTCAAAACATGTCATTAAGCGAGCAGTGTAAGGAAATTATTGCCACTGCCTACTGACCAGTAATTTGGCCGAGTGGTGTGGACTTTCCTGCCAATCGCAAGGTTCTGAGTTCAAGACCAGTGCTGACACCAGTGAGCGTGTACTCTGCTAACAAATGCTGTGATGCAAGCGTGAACCACTTTACATGCAGTTAATTGCTCTGACAACCACTGTCAACTGGCTACTCACTACACTGTATTCGGAGTGAGGGTAACAAAGATGCAGCTAACAAGGTTTGCACCTTGTCAGGCATTCCTTGTGATACTTACTAAGTCACCCTCGCTGTCACGTGCTACATCTGCCACCCTGGTATCTCAGGCATGGTGGTGGCCTTGTAGAAGCGAAACTTCCTAAACTGGTTGTGTTTCTCAACACAATTTCATAGCCAGTTTTGTTGCGCAACTGCGATCCTTACTTTCTTCTGATTATGTACTTCAAATAGGGAAGGGTATTTTAAAAAGGATCTGTGAACTACACAGCTCAATAAGACCTTTCTGGTTTCTAGGGATGACACCGCCACATGAAGAGACCACATGAAAAGGCTACATGAAAGGCGTCAGATGCCGCTTCTTTACGGATGGAGAGAAAAATTCAGATCCACCAATTTCAGTATATGGGCAAAGGTGAAAACCCACTTTCTGCATCAACGTTGCCCTGTTTTCCACACCTCGTGTTCCCAACTCACTGTGGTGTACAGCACAGTTGAAGCAATTCTCTTCAAGTCAGGACTTGATCATGACACATATACCTGTCATTGCACAATCATGGTCTGAGAACTCACTCACTGGGCCGGCCTGACTCATTATGTTCGAAATGGTGAAGTACATTTCACTGAACGTTCCCTAGGACTGATTCATATACTCCATTCTATACTTCATTGTTGAGCAATGCATGCGTAGAACTTACAGTGGTGAAGTGGATAGGAAAATACCACAGCTTCCATGCTCAGCATGGCCTGATACATTCAACAGGAAAGAACAGAAAACATAATTTAAAAAACTATCCATGTCTCTGTGCAGAAATATTCGATTATAGGAATGTGTATCAAATCCTAAAGGTAGGCATAACACACATACGCAACCAGTCATGTGTTCATTATCCACAGAGAAAAATATTCTTTTTTTCGTATAGTATCCCATGCAAACAGAAGTTCTCTTTGAGACCTGAGCAAGCCCACAGATCAAGTTGTGTTGCAAGATAGTGTGAAGTAGACATTTGCACACAAGTAAACTAGCAGTAGCATACAGGGAGCACACATGGTGTATTGAGAACATTCAACTTTACCAGCATCATCTTGGCGAGCAGCAGTGGACTGACTGGCTTGATCAGAGTGTGACTGGCTGCTCGAAGGAACGCTCTCTGCCGAGTCTGATTGAACAGCGGAGGAAGTAGCTCCGACGGAGACCGGCTGGACGGCTTGCACCCGACGCTTCCGGAATATGTCCGGGAAATCGGCGGCCAGCTGCAGTGCGGAGAGTAACAAATATACAAGCAACAAACATGGCTCTGATATCAACATCAGCTAGTGTCAATATCATCCACACCACTGAGAGTGAAATCAATGAGAGGTACACGGCCGAGAATACATTGTGCATTGGGTAATGGTAGGTGACAGATGTTTTGTTGAGTTAAATGATAGAACAACTTGCATACATCAACAGAGAGACATAGGCAGAGAGGGGGAGGGGGGAGAAGTAGAGAGAGACTGAGAGAGAGAGGCAGAGAGAGAGACTGAGAGAGAGAGAGAGAGAGAGAGAGAGAGAGAGAGAGAGAGGGAGAGAGAAAGAGAGAGAGAGAGAGAGAGAGAGAGAGAGAGAGAGAGAGAGAGGCAGAGAGAAAGACTGAGGGAGACTGAGAGAGAGACTGAGAGAGAGGGGCATGCGCAACAGGCCATCACACTCACCAGTTCTTCATGCTGCCGTAGCACCTTGCAGATCCTTGCAAAGCGCTGGGCGTTCGGTGATTTCACTAGCAGCTGGTGAAGCTTGGTTGAGGTGTGATGGTAGTCGGTAACTGCCCAGCTGTGGACCAATGCTGCTGCAGCGTGTAGATGATTACTGTGCCCACATGATGAAGATGATGATGTAAGGCCCAGGCAGGTGGCCAGTGCAGGCAGGTCGGACTCACCAAGGCTTCCTCGGACGGACTCGAAGGACTGTGCAGAGAGCAGTGAAGCATGGTTGACCGGCCATTCGAGAAGAAGCGGGGCACGATCAACGTAACGGTGGCTAGTGGAGAGAATACCCTGTGTTGCTACGGACGATCGTACTTCCACTGCATCGTACACAGCGAAACCAAACTTGGTGCTTGGCTCGTGGAGGTGCTGACGAATGGAAGCGGAGCTGAGGATGCTCGTGGAGTAATTAGTGCCCGGGCTGTACTGTGCTGCTAGCCTATCAAACACCTTGCGCAACAGAGCCAGCAGACAATAGCCATCTAGCGTATCTTCAACAGGCGCATGGACAACAGCGACAGCTTGGCGCAGGCTGTCCGTGACGGAGATGCAACCACGGGCTGTGGAATGGACTGGAGCCACCACCACCAGATTCTTCCAGAGCTCAGCAGGAATGCCGTGAAGCTCGTGGAAATAGGCGTACAGCTCTGTCTGCAGCCTGATAACAAGAGCAGTGGAGAAGCAGTGCTGAGTCGTGAAAGAGACTCCTGCGCACGCCGACCGAGATGATGAATCTTTCTTGGCCAGTGAGCCGAGGCAGTTGTCAGCGGTCGGAAGACGGCTGGGTGCCAGGATCCTTTCTTTCTCCTGCAGCAACACACCTAGCTGTACTACCATCTGCAGCAGCAGAGGGCCCTGACCTTCTGCTCCCTCGCAGCGGTTAAGCTTGGCCAGGACTTCCTGGACCTTTGCAACACCATCTTTGAAGTGAAGCATATCTTCATCGTCCAGCCCAGGTGGTGCGAAAATGAGACCAATGACCGTGGAGAGCAACCAGTTGGGTCGGTTAACAATGATGTCGTCCAGCTCAGGTGATGAGAAAGAAACAATCTAGAAACAAAAACACGATATGCAAACCCATACACACAGCAACACACATAGTTGTTTGCCGACGCACGATATATGCCCAAACATGGATGCACACACATTCCACACGCATGCGCAGACAGGATATTAAAAAAGGCCAAATACCTCCAAAATAATACAAAACAAAGCAAGTCAACCAGCCAATCCTCGACGCGTCATGACAGCACACTTCCCCTGACCCCACATTTAGTGGCAATGAGAAACTGTTAAATGAACCATCCTAAGTTTTAAAGAAATGGATGTAAGGGAAACGGGTACAGATGCCCTGGCTTGAGTTGCGCGGAAATCAATGTATTTTCCTCTCATGGACACAAATACAACCCTTTGGTGCCAGCCAAAGCAAGACTATGCAGCACATCCTCATAGAAACTCACTGTTGAAGATCAACCCATCAAAGATGCAAAGCACAATGCACCCGTTGTCAATAATAAAGCCAGCAATCTGTAGGTGATGTCCCCTGTCAAGCCCCAGCTAGCCATATTGTGCACAGCAACACACTAAACCTGTCCCACAATTTTCACTTCACATTGAAGTTTCCAGCAGCCTTACACCTACTAGTATCGGTGTATAGCTGGTCTACCCGTGCATAATATATATTATTACTCCCTTAGTATTGACTCCCATAGATTTTTCCTATACCTAAGCAGTCAAATATTCCTGCATGTTTCACTCCTTAGGGCTGTTGCTTATATTTGACTTCTTTTTAGCGATTGAACACATGCTTTGGTTAGTGGTGATAAATCTAATATTGACTTCATACTTGGTCAGTATCGGAAATAAAAAATCGTAAAAGACCTCGGCTTCGCCTCGGGCTTTTCCTCGGCTTTTATTTCCTATATTGACCTCGTGCTCAGTCAATATTAGATACCTAAACAACAGCTAGTGGCAGGATGGGCATCGTAATGTTCTAGATAAAGAAGGAACAATACCACATTTCGGAAACCTCTGTGCGGAGATCTACATAATTCCTCTGCGTCATTAAAATGTTCGCTTCCCAGAGCAATTTTTCAAATTTTCTTTTGTCTACTCGAAGGGTAAAGAAATCAGCTACTTGTAGAAATTGATGCAGAGCATTTTCGATAGACCAAGCTTTAGTTTGTGGCCTCCCGCTTCGCTGCAGTTGCAGCTAAGGTCGACATCTTCGTCAGGGTTTGAGGCAGACCCTTTCAGCAATCAACAATACGCTGAACACGACGCGCATTCAAATTCAGGTCATGAAGCTCCGTTTCAAGCGATCCATGCCTCCATGTGGTATGTGATGTTTGCCAACTAGCATTTTTCAAGTACACTGTAACGACCTTCCAGTGGGTTAGGGTAAGCAGTTCCGCACCTTCTTTCCTTGGCAAGCCCTTTGCTGATTTTGTTGGTGTTTTCAGGCCTGCTACCTTCACAGCTATATGCGCCACATGTGGCGCATTTTATGATTTGAGAACACGTGGTTCTTGCCATTGTCAACTTCAGTATTTCGAATTCAGGAGAGATACAAGGATTCTTATACCCGAGCTTGCAGTCTTGATAAATGCCTACACGAACGATGTAGGATGGCACAAACTCCAAAAACGATACGCGCGCTGGGGCGGAATATTTCGGAGCGCGATGAATTTTTTTGGTGCGGAAGAGAGCTCAGACAAAGTCCGAGACCACCACGGCTCCAATGATAAGTAATTATCGCGCAGGAAGGGTCGCACTAATGTTCAAAACAGAGAAAACAGCGATTCCGACAGTCTGACTAAGACCAGCAAGTCACACATATTGCGATGTGCGAAGCTACAATTTTAATGACGCGGAGGAAGTAACATACATGACATAGATGATATAGATGTTTTAGATGGTGTGCGTGGCCTCCACATACATACTAATGTCTTATTATCATACATGTACATGACACATACATCTTTATTGAAATTAGGGACTTGTACATACGAGGCCATAGGCATTGAGGATCCTGCGATATCGACGGATTTGTTCGATGTGGATGCTGTTCTCATCGTCAACGTCATCGTAATCATCATCGTCATCATCATCGTCGTCGTCGTCGTCGTCGCCGTCGTCGTCGTCGTCGTCGTCGTCGTCGTCGTCGTCATCGAAATCGGCATCATACTCTACAGCGCTAGCCGCACAAAGCTGTCGACAGAACTCCAGATTTGTTGAGAATGGCTCTCGGATGTTTTGATGAAGTTGTGCCAGTACTTCCTCTGCCTGGCCGAGCACTTTGGGTTGCTTGCGAGATTTCTGAACATCAACATCAACAACACAGTCGTTTAAATTCTCTCTCTCGCTCTCTCTCTCTCTCTCTCTCTCTCTCTCTCTCTCTCTCTCTCTCTCTCTCTCTCTCTCTCTCTCTCTCTCTCTCTCTCTCTCTCTCTCTCTCTCTCTCTCTCTCTCTCTCTCTCTCTCTCTCTCTCTCTCGGTCTCTCTCTCTCGGTCTTTCTCTCTGTCTCTGTCTCTGTTTCTCTCTCTCTCTATCTCTCTCTCTCTCTCTCTATCTCTCTCTCTCAACACAAACATGATGAACGCCCGAAACGGTCAGAGCTTACCTGAAAGTAGAGTGGAATAATGTTTTTTATTGAAACACCGAGTTTCATGCGGGCACGATCATCAGGTAAAAGTTTTATTCCATGAATTGAACAATACAATTAATACTAAAACAACAGTACAGTAAAGTATGGGTAAAACGACCTCTGCTGTTAGCAGCCCCCTGCTTTTAACCACCATTTTTCCATGCGCCTACAATTCCACAAAGAACTTGCTGAGGGAACAGCGGACACCTGCGTTTCACGACCGGCGACCGAATTTTAGCGTACCAAGTGCCATATCTGACCTGCATATACAGAGACCACAAGTGGCTGTCCTCACTGTCAAGCTTGCTGGCAACAGGCTAGAAAACAATGAAGTGTGATCAGAAGCAAGTACATGCAGTCATTGGCATGACCATGGCATGACCATGGCGGCTGCGCTGCATGCACTCGAACGAGGTGTGAAAACTCGTAGGTGCTTTGCCTTCTGAATGAAAGTGTTCTATGTACAAAAACCTGTCAATTTGTGTGTATAGAAGTATGTACACGATCCGGGATGCCGCAAATGTACGGGACCTTATTCTAAAGACCATCTGGCTTTAATGATTGCTCTTGCTTGAGATGGAACCTGAACGCTAATCCCTCAAAAACAGAATATACCACCGTCGTCCGATTCCCGATAGGAACCAAGAAACATGGCGCACTGTCCGCAAACTAGGCTCCCTCGTGGGTGATGCCGGAGATGCTACTCGGAGGCGACAACTGGCCGCCACCGCATTCAGCTCACTCCTCAAGATCTGGAACCAGAGATGCCAGATCAGGGAAGGTCTTCGGCTGAGGCTATACAACGCCTACGTCATCCCTGTTCTTACCTACAACTGCGGCACTTGGGGTCTACTGATGTCGGAGCTTGCGCGAATGGATTTGTTCCCCAGGACCCAGCTAAGGAGCATCATCGACATGCGATATCCAAAATAAAATCAGGAATGACACTCTTTACAAGTGCTGCGGAGCTGCCCCCATCAGCGAGATGATCACAAGCCAGCGCTACAGTCTCGCTGGCCATATCTTTCGTGTGGCCCCAATTGCTCCTCATCAGCTGGCAGTGGATAGAATATATCTTCGCTTGGCCAACGAAAATGGCACTGAACGTTTCAGGCGTCGACCTCAGACAATTTTGGCAACGGTCTTGCAGACGGAATTGTCATCATGGCATGGACTTACCCTCCACCAGCCGCTAGAAGCTGACGCAGTCCGCACAATGGCAGCGGACCAACAGGCATGGCTTGGAGCCCGCCCCACCTAACAGGACTGATTATCGTGATTCACATGATTACGCCAGACATATAATAATGTATATTCCATTTTATACCTTCGATTAAGTTTTTCATCAGTCCGATTGGTGTTGTTGCTAACGGCTTTTGTTTACGTCACTCCTGTCATTTAATTTTTTTTGCAAAGTATTCATGATGTGACCATGGAGAAAAGCAATCTGCAGCGTTATTTGCTTCAGTTAGATGAGGAGCTCCTGAAGGTGGCTGCGCCCATTCTGTGGCAACATCTGGATGCCTCACCGGACTCCTTACAGGTGGTGAAGTGTCGCTTCAAAAAGAACACCTCTTGGCGTGAACTCAGAAACCCTTGCATGGACAGTTTGTCCAGCAAACAGACCAACTGACCAAGGAGAACAGCTGCAGCTGGCTGACAAATGCTGGTCTCAAGAAGACCACGGAGAGCCTGATCATTGCAGCACAAGACCAGACCTTGGCAACTAACCTGCTCAAGGCCCAAATCTTCTATAAGGGCAGAAGCCCCTTGTGTCGAATGTGTGGGCAGGCAGGCAGGCGAGTCGGTTGCCCATATCCTATGCGAGTGTTCAAAGCTCACTGCATGGGATTACTTGGATCGTCATAATCGGCTGGCCTCGCTAGTCCACTGGTCGCTCTGTCGTGTACATGGGATATCATGTGAAGACAAGTACTACAAGCACCACTGTGATCCTGTGCTTGAGCATACCAAGACTAGTGTAACGGTACAAGAGCATCCTGCACCCGAGGATAATGTGCCTGAAGCTATAGATACTTCAAACGCCAAAATCTCTCCGCAGGACAAGAAGATCAATATTCTGTGGGATTTCACCATCCGGTGTGATCGCTTCAATAAGCACCGACGGCCTGATATTGTTTGGTTGATGGACCTGCCAAGAAGGCCCTGATCATTGACATTGATGTACCTGGTGATCCACGCGTTGCTGAAAAGGACGTTGAGAAACGTGCCAAGTATCAACTTCTTGCTCGCGAAATCCATCGGCTATGGCAAGTTGAGACTCAGATTGTTCCTGTGGTAGTTGGGACTTTGGGCACGTTTCCAAACAGTTGCCAGGATACCTTGACAACACCGGTATCACCAGCAACTGTTCTGTGTCTGAATTGCAAAAGAATGCTCTCCTTGGCTCGGCAGCTATCTTGCGTAAGGTCCTTGCTTTGTAATGCTCTGGGGTGGGTGGTGGAGTTCTTTCGGTTCTATTTTCCTCCAAACTCTCTCGTGTTCCTATGATCGATATTTAGAAAAGTGTTGTGTGTTTCTCTTTGTTGTTTACCTACCATCGTATTTAATATCCATAATTATTATGATGCATGGTCCCACCTTTGGTTGCTGGACGCTAGCTCGGTGGGTGCCTATCTCTGGCCTTCAGCCGAGTGCTAATGGATAAGGATGAGTCGGAGAAGTGAACTGCCTAAAAAGGAGAAA